ACCTCCCATGCCCCACCCGCCTTCCACCCACCTGCAAGTCCTTGCCCCCCACGACTTCTGCTTGATTGATGCGCTCTGTGGTCCCATGCCCTCCCACCCCTCAAAGCGCTGTGCTTATCCCTTTACCCCAATCTTGGGTGCCAGAGTAGGTGGGGAGGTTTGACTTCGTCTGCATTTGGGTTGGGCAGTGGTTGCTTAGTAATCTACATTGGCATACCTGCTCCCAGCAGAAGTGAAGGGGCCCGTCAGAGACATGGCATATGGCTTGGCCTCCAGAGCCACCTCCAGTTTCCACAACAGAGTGGGTGTAAGGTCTGACTGGCAGTGCTTCAAATGCCCCTACCCCAATTCCCCCTGTCGTTGTTGTCTATCGTTCTCATGTGTTAGAGAGGGGCTGGGGGCCTGTGGGTTTCCTTTGCATTTACTTTCCTTTGCATTCCCATCCAGTAGTTCATTTTGTGCTCACATCAGTTCTGTGGAAGTGAGACTGCTGTTCACATGCTACAGCTAGGTCAACTGAGGCACTGGTTGGAAAGGGGTGCCAAGTAGTATGGTGAAGCCATACTGGCCTCAAGGTCACTGAGTCAGAAGTCTAGAGCCTCAGGTGAACACTTGTACAGGATGTTAGCTGGTTCCAGGTCTCAATTCCAGCTTTAGGGGAGAAGGACTCGGAGGAAGGGCCTGTTCTTTCTAAGTCTCTAAGACTCCAAAACAAGTCATGGGTGATCGGGGGCTCAGGAATTTCTATACTGGAGAGATGCTGAGAACCAGTCTTTGGTCAGGGCTGCCAAGGGCTGACTTCTCTGCTTATGAGGAGCAGAATCCAGTGAGGCTAGGCAAGCTGGGAAGGCGCCAGCAGCTCCATGGATGGGGATAGCCAAGGGAGGCCTGGCTGCTGGGCTTCCGGCTTGTGTCTGCAGCAGTCCTGATTCCCCTGAGTCATTTACCCCTGCAGAAGAAGGAAGGTGACAGTTTGGCCTCCAGCAACCAAGTCTCTGTCCCATCTCTAGGATTTGGTTTTTTGGTCTGTACATTTGGGAAGGGAAGCAATATCCTGTAATCTTCAGGTGAGTTTTACAGCAGTATCAGATACTGATGTGCCATTCAGGAGTGTGGATTCTGTAGCCTGGCACAACCATCCAGGCTCTTGAGTCCTGGATGCCCCTCTTCACCTCAGCTTCAGCAAAAGGTCACCTCTTCTAGGCAGAGGCCAACTTTATCAACCTCTCTCTGCCAGGAAGGGGCAATAGACTGGTTGCAGGCTTGCTCTCTAGACCACTCCAGTCTGGGCTCTTGCCCTTCAGCACTAGCTAATGGGCTCAGGACTGAAACCTGCAATTGACAAAATGGCTGCACACAGAGCAGCCTTTGGTTCCTCCCTACTTCTAGCCCAGGGTCATTTTGGCAGTCCCAACTATGCATTATTCCAAGGTTATGGGAACTTTCTTTAGAAACTAAAAGAGTACAACTTTAATCCTAGCACTCAGGAAGCAGAGGCAGGTGGATCTCTGTGACTTTTAGGCCAGCCTGGTCTATAGAGCTAGTTCTAGGACAGCTAGGGCTACACAGACAAACCTTGTCTCAACACAAAAAAACACCCCCCCAAAAACTCCAAAAAACAAACAAACAAAAAAAAACCGAAAGAGGCTGAAAGCTGTGCTCTGCCAGGAAAATACACAGGGTCAAGAAAGATGAAGTGAGGACACTCTGCTCCTGTTTGCAGGGGACATGAGCAGCTTTGCATGTGGCCTAGGCATT